GCCATGCGACAGCACTGCGATGGCAATGCGATTGCAGTGGGAAGTGGTGCAAAGCAATGCAATGCAAAGCGAAGCAAAGCAATGAATACCAGTGCAAAGCCATAAAAGCAAGGCAATGCAACGCAAAGCAATGGAAAGCAATGAAAAGTCATGAAAAGCAATGCAAGTCAATGCGATTGTAACGCAATTCAATGCAATGCGACTGCAAAGCAAGGCAGTTTTGCAAGGCAGCGCAAAGCAATGCAAAGCAACGCAATGCGATAGCAACGCGAAACGATACAAAGCAATACAAAGCAGCGCAAAGCAATGCAAAGCGATGCAAAGCAATACAAAGCAGCGCAAAGCAATGACAAATTATTTCAATTAATGCGGCTGCAGCGCAATGCAATGCGATGCGATGCAACGCAAAGCGACAGCAGTGCGATTGCCCTGACATGCGAGTGCAACGCAAGGCAAAGCAATGCAATGGCAATGCAAGACGCTGCAAAGCAATCCAAGGCAATGCAAAGCAATGCAAAGCAGTGCAGAGAACTGCAGAGCAATGGAAAGCAATGGAAAGCTATTGCAAAGCAGCGCGATTGCAACGTAACGCAAGGCGATTGCAACGCAATGCCGATTGCAGATCAATGCAACGCAGCGCAGTGCAATGCAGTGCAATGCGATGCAGCGCGATGCAATGCAGTGCAATGCAGTGCAACGCAATGCGATTGCAACGCGGTGCCATGTCGTTGCAATGCAAAGCAACGCGAAGACGGCAGCGACGAGTAGCCACGAGCAGGCCGGGGCGGCACCGGGGCCCAGCGGCGACAGCGGCGACGGGCGGCGACGAGTGGCCACAGGCCAGCTGGGGCGGCACTTGAGCCCAGTTACCTTGGAAGCGAAGCGAGAAGCCCTAAGTGCAGGCACTGTCAGGGGTGAACTCTGGATATATACGCACATACATACACACATACACACATACACACATACACACATACACACATACACACACACATACATACATACATACATACATACATACATGCATACATCCATACATACATACACATACATACAGACAGGCATACACACACATACATACATACATACATACATACATACATACATACATACATACATACATACACACATACAGACAGACAGACAGACAGACAGACAGACAGACAGACAGACAGACAGACAGACAGACATATATGCATACATACACACACACACATTGTGCTCAAGAAGAGCCCACCAGGTCTCGAGGAACATACGCGGGCACAGGTGTCTAAGTAGAGAGCAGCACCGCACGGGCCGCTTTGGCACTCGAGAGCGCCGTCTCCGGAGAGTTCCAGTCTTCAAAACTCCTGCTCTGGATATGGTGTGGCAACCGCCAAACGTTAGAGGTCCAGCTTCTGTGAGCCGTTACTCCCGCAAGCACACAACCCCAAGCGGGCGATTAGGCTGGACGGAGCTGGGACTATCCCGAACCAGGACCGACATACAGCGTGCCACAAGTGGGAGCACGACAAGTAATGAGGCATACAGTCAGATGCGCTCGAGACCCTCTGGGCGGAGCATCCAAACACGTACGGGCCAGTAGCCTCACGCTCTTTAGTGTGCAGACGTCTACTGGTCGCCCACCCCACCCCCCGCCCATGTCTTGGGGAGGGCACAGTGCACGGCAGGGGTGAAGGACGAAACGAGGAGCACGTTGAGGGGCTCCCACTCGATCTGCGAGGAGCGAACAACCTCATTCTCTGGAAGCCACGAGCGGAGGCGAACGAGGGGGAAGCGATCAACGAGGAGGGACGAGACGAAATGGGAATGAACAAAACGCTGCATGCGAAGACGTGCATCCGGGAAGGCGACAGCCAACCTCATTTTCTACCCACGCCATGCGCCAAGGGCGGCGCGGCAAACGGACGGTGCCGCAAGCCACGGCATCATCGCCCCCCATTCACGGGAAGCCCAGGGCGGCCGCCCCGAGGTTGAGTGCCAGCGGTTTCGACTTCCAGTGCTCGGGCGACAGGAAACCGCGGCCAATGTCCTTCAGGTTCAAGTGTGCGCTCGCCTCTGCCCGCAAGCGGTTGAGCTCGAGGTCTCAATTCTTGATAGTCTCCTCGGCACTCCTCATCAGCGCGGATATGTTGGCGAGGTTGATAGACGTTGCACGGGGCGATGGCGACCACATCCCAATGGCCAGGGTATCGTCGCGTCGCATAGACTGAAGGGGAAGATGACATAGCCGATCATAGCCGATGTAGAACCCAGGCTTCAGCACGTTTGTTTTTTGGGGGCAGCAACATCACCTGACCCAAATACGCGAGCTTAAGAACCAATATCTGGTTATACAACATGATCGAAGTACTGGTCGGAGCCTTCATGTCGGCGATTATTTTCGACGTTGGCTTCCGCCGTTTCAACGGATGGGCTCCATCTCAAAGTTTCTGTCAAACACGGTCCCACCAGAACACCAAGATACTCGGCCGACTCAGAAACAACCATGTTCGCCAAGCGGGGTACGATGTCTTGGAGCTGGAGTTGGATATGTTCAGCGACACATTGCGAGAAGGGTTCGGCCAGGGGGACCTGCTTGCATTTCAGCGGCTTGAGGTGGGCTTCGCCAAGAAGGCAGCAGCATAGAAGACTCCACTGGGCGGTTTCAGCATCTGCATCGGGGGAAGGATGGCGCCTGAGTCGTCAGCACATATACCGACCGCCCTCTGCTTGTACATCCAGGTGCGGTGGAACATGTCCCTGATGAGCGGGTCCATGCCAGCAGCCCACAGGGTGCCCGACCATTTGGCAGCCTTGGAGAATACCAGAGCCCAACCATTAGAACGGGCCCAGCTGGTCGGCGAGGTTGGCCCAGGCGAACGGGAAGAGATAAACCACATCCGCCAGGTTCCGCTTGCACTCGGAAAGCCCGACAGCCCCAACGTCTTGACAGGGAAAGCGCATCGAGGGGAAGGCGTCGCCGCAGCCAAATGTAACCATGAGCGGGTCGAACAGGTCAGCGTTCTTCTGCATGGCCACGATGCGAGACGGGACACCCATCATCACCACGTGCTCGATGAACTGCCTCTTCGGGAGAAAGCCCTTCTGCGCGTGGTGCGCGCCCTTGGCCACGATCGGCTTCGTGAGGCGGTTGCCCATGGCAGCGATGATCGTGCAGCGCGGTTCTTCAAGGACAGCGGGCGAGTGGCCTCCGCCTGCCGAGAGACGATGGATTAATCATTGTCGGCAGAGCACTTCGAGGTGAAGATCAGCCAGGAGTCATTGAAACACGGGGGTGGCGGGAGACCCTTCATGAGCTAGATGGTGCTCTCAAAAATAACATGCGCTGCACCAGGAGTCTTCTTCCACGCCATGTACGAGATCCCCATCAGGACCAGGGGCCGAGTTGTTCAACTGTCTTATCAGGCAGGTATTGCATCGAGCCCACATGTCGGGATGTCCATCGCTGAGAAGTCATAGGGAACCACATGCTTCTCAAGGTATCGCTGCACGTGCTGGCGCAAACATGGTCGAGCAAGGAAGACAAAAGCCCATTGCCGACGGAGTTCGCGGATCATCTCGTTGGGGTCCTCTGTCGATGAGTGGTCATGCATCAGCTCGATGGCCTTGGGCTTTAGTTGTTTGCCTTTGGGGGCCCAGAGCTTGCCACGCTTCTGGATGGATTTCTGCAGTTTGTGAAGTTGACGCCTCCTCGAGAGTGGTGTATCATGAGATGTGGCCTCCGCATGAATCTCCTCTGTGCGCTTGTCCTGGTATGCATTCTGAAGTTCCTCAAACTTGCGGCGAAACCGATCGGGTCCGAGATCGTGATGTTCATCTGGTCGCTGGTGTCCAGGTACTGAGCGCCCAGGGAGGTGCGAGCGTGCAGAGTTGTCGCCGTCTAACAGTCATTGCGCCAAACAGCTCGCGAAATCGCACGACATGTGGTGAGAGCTGCTGCCCTGCAGGGGACTCTCGCATGCGTAAGCCCGTTGCGGGTTAGCCTGGCTGCCTCCCGCTGCAGACGCTTGATCTCCTGAAGCTTGACCGCAGGCGTGCACTCGTTGAAGGCGGCCAACTCGAGGAGCAGGTCCAAGGAGTGCCTGAAGAGTTGGAACTCGAAGATAAACTGAGGAATCGGATGCGACCAGAATATAAATATGCATATATACATAGATAGATCGCCCGCTCCTGACACCCTGCGTCCAAGCCAGCTTTCGAAACCCTGCGCCCTAAGCAAATGTCACATCTTGGGGGCACATGTGTGTATTGCAGCCGCCGGCAGAGCCGCCCTCGCCTTACTTCCGCCCGCGTCCCCGGGCGTTCCGGCGAGGTCCGCCGAGGAAGAGAGGCCGAGCCTCCGATGCTTCGGAGGCGAGGCCCTGCTGTGGAAGGCCCTGTGCTTCCCATCCTCTCTCTCCCCCTCTACGTGTCCCCACGGCGCTGCGCCAGCAATCAGGCGCGCCCCTCTCTCCTGGGAAGCCAGGCAGCACCCTCCGTTTCCCAGAGCGCCTCCTCATTCGCTCTCCCTCCTCCCCCTTTCCTTCGCTGCTACGTATAACGAACATGGCGAATGTGTGTGTGTGTGTTTTTACGTTGGGGGGAACAGGGCGCGACCACTTGTCTCCACACGGTTCGGCGTCAACCAATTGTGCGAGTGCGGACAACAATTACGTCTGCAACCCACAAGATTGCATGCATGACTCATGTACCCTCCTCCCAAGAATCATACCCAAACGCCCGATGTCTTGACGTTTTTCAAAGTGGGGTCCCCAGAAACCCCGACTCTTTCCCACAAGCCAGGTTTTCATTACGAGTCGCTTTTCGAAAGCCCCAGGGACTGGCGAGGGCCTCCCGAGGTCGAAAAGAACACACGGAAAAGGATGTCGTGTTTTGTCACCACGCAAGGATGCCTGGGCACATCAAGTCAGAGGGCGCGACACCATCATGACATTCTTCCTCGTCCGTCCTTCTTCCAGAAACCAGGCTGCGGCGACCCACGGTCTAGCCCCAGACGCCTGGCTTCGTGCCGTGCTCGATCAGGTGCGTCCACTGTTTGTAGTTCCCGTAGCCCTCGAGGAGGAGGAGTGCGAAGGACGAGGAGGGTCGTATACTCCGCCTCCCCTCCACAGCGTCCTCCTCCCCCTCATCGCGACCACCATTAGCACCAACACCACCATCACCACCACCACCACCACCATCATCATCGTCAGCATCAGCAGCAGCAGCATCATCATCATCATCATCATCATCATCATCATCATCATCATCATCATCATCATCAGCATCATCATCATCATCATCTTCATCTTCATCTTCATCTTCATCTTCATCATCATCATCATCATCATCACGAGCATCATCGTCGTCATCGTCATCATTACCACTATCAGAATCATCATCCCCCTCCCTTCCCACCTCTGAGCACTGAGCACCGCGGGTAGTGGAGTCTCCTAAAAAATGCACCACTTCCCCTCCCAGGTGCCCTATGACACCTGGGAGGGCGGCAAGGTAGAGGCTCCATTTGCAGGAGAACGACAAGGGAATAAGGCGCCTCCGACCCCTGCTCCTCCTCCTCCTCCTCCTCCTCCTGCTCCGACTCCTCTTCCTCCTCCTCAGCCTCTTCCTCATCCTCATCATCACCACCATCATCAGCAGCATCATCATCAGCATCATCATCATCATCATCATCATCATCATCAGCATCATCATCATCATCATCATCATCATCATCATCATCATCATCATCATCATCATCATCATCATCACCACCACCACCACATCATCATCATCGTCATCATCATCATCATCATCATCATCATCAGCATCATCATCATCATCATCAGCATCATCATCATCATCATCATCATCATCATGATCATCATCATCATCATCATCAGCAGCAGCATCGTCAGCATCATCATCATTATCAGCATCATCATCAGCATCATCGCCGTCAGATTCATCGTCATCGTCATCTGCTGCATCGTCATCATCAGCAACATCAGCATCATCCCCATCGGTGTTACCATCATCATCATCATCATCATCATCAGTATAATCAGCATCATCAGCATCATAATCGTCATCATCATCGGCATCATCAACATCAACATAATGATAAACGCCGTCGTCGTCGTCGTCAACAGAATCAGCATCAGAATCCTCTTACCCCTCCTCTTCCGCGTCAACGGGACAAAGGGGAAGCAGAAGGACGAGGATAAGAAACAGGCAGCTGCAGTGCTACCACCTGCAGCTACCTTTCCGCAGCCGCAGAAAACCAGCTACCAGAAGATCCTGACTACCGAGATCGATGGGAAAACTACAGAGTCCTGGGGCCGCCGCTACTCCCACATCACGGTGCCATCGCCCAACCACTCAGACTGGCTCGAAGTACATACCGAGGTGCCCATAGACAACAACTTCAAGAGCCACGCTATCGCCAAATGCATTAAGAAAGAACTCAGCCACATCAACCACTACTGCGCCAGCGCCAGGGTCAACAGTTGCCCTGCTGCACACGGGCACCATTGACGAGGAGGCGCACGTACCGAGCCAGACGATCGGGAAGGACGCACGGTACCATAATGGACGCGGACGGCGGGGACGAGAGCCCCTGCCTCGTGGATGCGGTACGGCTCGCCCAACCTGAGTCTTCCGAGCGCGAGCTTTATGACATGAAATCCAGAGGTCTGCAGGAACCTCGAAACGGGCCTGCCTCGGGGCAGCCGATCTTAAGAGATGAACCGTTCACTATACGGTATCCGCCCTCCCTCGCGCGTAGCCGCGGTGCCCTCCAAGAACTCCTCGCGCATGATTAGCGCCGCGTCTGGGCGCGAATGGCAGGGACGAGGGCGGATGCCTCGTCCGCCGCTAAGCTGCGTCCAAGCTGGGCGCGTCTGGCCCTGGGTTCCGTGCACAGCAAGCAGAAGCAGATCGGAACCTGAAAACGTTCCTTGGATGGCTCCGCGAGCCCGAAAAGGTCAGTCGACCCATGCCTCGGAAAGGGCCTCCGCCTCCCTCTAAGCGGGCCCCAAATACTGCAAGATGGTCTCCAAGATGTCTGAAGATAGCCTCCGACATACATCAAAGCGGCCCAAATGTGCCCCCAAGACGGTTCCAGGTGCCCTTCGAGCTTTCCAAGGCACCCCCCAAGAGGCCCACATCCGGCAAACACCTGAAGAAACTCTCAACGTGATCTGCCTTCTGGTCCCTGGGCATCCGATGGGTTTTGAGGCCCCGAGATGGCCCCGAGATGGCCCAAGCGAGCTGCCAGAGGAGCCTCGAAAGCTCAGCTGCCCCGATACGCCAGACGCAACACCTAGCGTGCTGACACACCGAGCTCAGCACGGTGGGCCGACACACTGAGCCAAGACGCAGCGTGCTAACACGGACGTGTTGAATACGGCACGTGTCGCGTGTCAAAACGGGCGCATCAGGGTAGCTAAAGCCCAAGAGGGCCCCAAGAGGCGCCCCAAGAGTCGCCCCGAGAGCGCCCCACGAGGCGCCCCAAGAGGGCCCCACGAGGCGCCCCAAGGGCGCCCCGAGAGGCGCCCCAGAGCGCCCCGAGAGGCGCCCCAGAGCGCCCCACGAGGCGCCCCAACAGGGCACACGGGCAGGCCCAGGAGCGCCCGCCCCCCCTCGGAAGGGGGCCTCCGCCGGCGCCCGGGCGGCTGGTCCCCCCCTGCGCCTGGACCGGCGGCGCGCCCGCGGGCCCGCGGGCGCGCGGGCCGACCGCGGCGTGGAGGCCGCAGGATCGCCGCGCGGCGCCGCGCCAATCGGGAGAACGAGGACGGAGAGGGGGAAGGAGGAGGAGGAGGAGGAGGAGGAGGGCGAGGAGGAGGAGGAGGACGAGGAGGAGGGGGAGGGGAGGAGGAGGGAAAAAGGAGGAGGAGAAGAGGAGGAGGGGGAGGATGAGGAAGACAACGAGGAGGAGGAAGGAGGCGAAGCAGGAGGAAGAGGAGGAAGGAGAAAAAGGACGAAAACTGGTAGGGCGAGGAGGAGGAGAAGGAGGAAGAGGAGGAGGAACGGGAGGGCAGGGCGACCCTTGTACCCCATCCTCCTTCGCCTCCTCCCTCCTCCTCCTCCTCCTCCCTCCTCCTCCTCCTCCTCTCCTCTCCTCCTCCTCCTCCTCCTCCTCCTTCCCTCCTCTCCTCCTCCTCATCATCATCCTCCTCCTCCTCCTCCTCCTCCTCCTCCTCCTCCTCCTCCTCCTCCTCCTCCTCCTCCTCCTCCTGCTCCTCCGACACCCCTCCCACACTCCTCCGCCTCCTCCTCCTCGAGGGGGGAAGGAGGGGGAGAGCAAAAAGAAAGATGGCGCGCCACCTTCGAGTGGATCTCGTCATGCGGCCGCAACGTGTCCAGGAGCGACTCCTGCTTCTGGTAGAACTCGTTCTTCCTCACCCTGCGGGACAGGGGAGAAGAAGGGCAGAGAAATAGAGAGAGAGAGAGAGAAATATATAGATATACATGCCTAGACATAGATGTATATAAAAATGTGTGCATGTATGCATGTATGTATGCATACATGCATGTATGCATGTATGCACGTATGCACGTATGCATGTATGTATGTATGTACGTGTATGTATATATGCATGCAAGAACTTTTGTATGTATGTATGCATGTATGCATGTATGTGTGTATGTATGTATGTACGTATGTATGTATGTATGTATGTATGTATGTAAGTATGCATGTATGTATGTATGTATGCATGTATGTGCATGTATCTGTCTATGCATATGCAAATGTATATGTAAATGTATGTGTATATGCATGCATGAATGCTTGTATGTATGTATGGGTGTAGTACAGCAACACATGTCTATACACCTACGTGCACGCATCGCAAACGAAGTGCATGCCGACGCACATACGTGCAATCAGAATTGGCATGTGCATCGACATCGCAGAGCTCAGCATCACCATCATCAGCATCATCATCATAATCGTCGTCATCATCGTCATCATCATCACCACCATCATCATTGTCATAATCATCATCATCATCATCATCATCACCATCATCATCATCAACCACAGCATCATCATCAGCATCATGGTCACAGTCATCATCATCATCATCATCATCATCATCATCATCATCATCATCATCATCATCATCATTACCATCATCACCACAACAATAAACATCATCATCAGCAGCGGCAGATCATCACCATCACCATACTCAGTATCATCAGCATCATCATCAGCATCAGCATCATCGTCGTCGTCGTCGTTAGCATCATCATCGACGTCCGCCTCCTCCTCCTCCTGATCAGCATCCTCATCCTCGACAGCACCTTCAGCATCGTCATCATCACCACCATCAGATACATAAGAATCATCAGCAGCAGCAGCAACATCATCAGGTCCACCATCATCATCATTATCATCATCATCATCATCCGCATCATCATAATCATCCGCATCACCATCATAATTAGCATAGCCAGAGTCATCATCAGCCCAAATCATCATCATCATCATCAGCAGCAGCATCATTGTCAGCAGCATCAGCATCATCGTCATCACCGTCATCGTCATCATCATCATCATCATCGTCATCATCAGCAGCAACACCGTCATCCTCATCATCATCAGCAGCATCATTATCACCATCGCCACCATCATCATCATGCCGTCGTCAAAGTCATTGTCATCATCCTTGTCATCGTCATCGTCATCATCATCATCATCATCATCATCATCAGCAGCATCATCATCATCATCATCATCATCATCATCATCATCATCATCATCGTCAGCGGCATCATCATCATGATCACCTCCAGCGCCTCCTCGAAATCCACCTTCCCCATCTGTTTGAACGCCTCGTCGGTCGCCCTCTCCTGATCGATGCCCCCCTCCGTCCTCATCATCCATCTCGTCTTCGTCCTCCGGATCATCTTCGACGACCTCTTCGTCGCACTCCACCTCCTCCTGCTCCTCCTCCTCCTCCTCCTCCTCCTCCTTCTCCTTCACCGCCTTCTCATTGACCTCTTCGCTTCCTTCCCTCCTCCCCGTCCTCCTACGTGCCCTCCTCCTCATCCTCGGCATCCTCATCCTACTCCTCCTCATCCTCCTGCTCCGCATCCTCTTCATCAGCATCCGCAGCATCAGCATCATCATCATCATCATCATCATCATCAGCAGCAGCATCAGCATCAGCATCAGCATCAGCATCAGCATCAGCATCATCATCATCATCATCCTCATCATCCTCATCATCCTCATCATCCTCATCATCCTCATCCTCATCCTCATCCTCATCCTCCCCTTCCTCATCCTCATCCTCATCCTTATCCTCCTCATCATCATCACCAGCATAATCATCATCATCATCATCATCATCATCATCATCATCATCATCATCATCATCATCATCATCATCATTACCATCATCACCATCACAATCAACATCATCATCAGCAGCAGCAGATCATCACCATCACCATACTCAGCATCATCAGCATCATCATCAGCATCCTCATCCTCATCACCATCATCATCAGCAGCAGCATCATCATCATCGGCATAATCATCATCCGCATCATCCTTACCATCAGCAACAGCAGCATCATCAGCATCACCATCATCAGCAGCAGCATCATCAACAGCAGCATCATCATCACCAGCATCGCCAGCATCGTCATCATTATCAGCATCAGCAGCAGCAGCAGTAGCATCATCATCATCATCATCATCATCATCATCATCATCATCATCATCATCGTCATCACCGCCATCGTCCTCATCCTGCTTATCATCAGCATCGTCATCGTCATCATCGTCATAATCATCATCATCGTCATCATCATCATCGGCATCATCACCAGGCATCACCACCATCATCATTACCATCGGCAGCGGCATCATCATCGTCACCATCACCGTCATCAGCATCATCATCAGCAGCAGCATCAGAATCAGCATCAGAGTCAGTTCCAGCATCATCGTTTATCAATGGCCGCATTATCATCCACCTTATCATCCTCATCATCAGAAACATGAGCAGCACCACCACCATCAGCAAAATCATAACTACCATAGTCATGCCTGGTATGATCATCATCAAGGTCATCAGCATCATCGTCACCGTGATCAGCATCAGCATTATCATCACTATCATCATTGTCAGCATCGACAACATCATCATCAGAATCATCAGCATCATCAGCATCACCAGCATAATCAACAATACCATACGCATTACCATCAGAATTAGCATCATCATCATCATCATCATCATCATCATCATCAGATTCATCATCATCATCAGCATCATCATCATCAGTATCATCAACATCGCCATCAGCACCATCATCATCAGCATGAGCATCAGCATCATCAACAGCATCGTTATCGTTATCGTCACCGTCATCGTCATCATCATCATCCGCATCATCATGGTCATCATCCGCATCATCCTCCTCCGCATAATCATCGTCATCATCAGCAGCATCATCATCAGCAGCATCATCAGAATCATCGTCATCATCATCATCATCATCATCAGATGCATCATCATCAGCAGCATCATCACATCCCTCCCCCAGATCCCACCCACCCTCCCCTTCCTCATCCCTCCTCCTCGACCTAGCCTTCGTCTTCCATGTTACACGCTGCTCCGCATCCTCATGGTGTCCTCACTTCTCCGCAGCGCCACCTCCCGTGCTGGCGCTTCCAGGACCCGATGACGCTGCCCTGTAAGGCAAGCGCAATGGCTAACCATCTACGCACCCTGGTGACCGCAACAGCGCCAAAACGCCCGCACGGGCCGTGCAAATCGGCGACGCCCCTGGGCAGGCTCCGCCGCGACAAGAGCTGGGGACGACGCTCAAGAAGACGCCGACGGCAACGCCGACGCCAATGGCGGAGACGGTGAAGACGGCGACGGTGAAGGTCAGGCGGCGACGGCAGCGGTCTCAAGAGGGGAGGGTGGCCTGTTCCACCTGCCCCTAGGCCCGACGTCGGTGAGCCAGACGCGGTGAAACCTCGGGCGCAGCCGTGCTCGGGGCCAAGCAATGTCATGTCACTCCTCCTCTTCCTCCTCCTCCTCCTCCTCCTCCTCCTCCTCCTACTCCTCCTCCTCCCTCCTCCTCCGCCTCCTCATCTACCACCTCGCTCCTCTCCCTCCTCCTCTCCTCCTCCTCCTCCTCCTCTCATCCTCCTCCTCCTCCTCCCTCCTCACTCCTCCTCTCCTCCTCCTCCTCCTCCTCCTCCTCCCTCCTCCTCCTCCCTCCTCCTCCTCCTCCTCCTCCTCCTCCTCCTCCTCCTCCTCCTTGCTTCCTTTTCCTTACCAATAACTCCTCCTTGTCGCACCCCCAAGGCCATTCGGAAGGGCGGGCTGGGCACTTCGCCTGAGATTTCCTCACCACTCATGATCCTGAGACTGAGAATCTGCAAGAGCTTCACGGACGGAGGGCGGGACGCTTTCAAAACGTGGCTCTCGCTTTAGCGTCGCGCACATCCGCCTTCGAATCCGCAAGAGCTTCATAGATTTAGAGCGGGTCGTTTTCAAAATGTGGCTCTCGCCTTGGCACCGCGCACACTCGTCATAAAAATACCAGAGCTTCACGGATGGAGGGCGGTTCCATTTCAACAGTTGGCTCTCGCCGCAGCGCCGCGGACACTCGTTTTTAAGAGTTGACGACAGTTGGAGGGATTCTCATGGTTGACGTTCCGACGATGGTGTTGTGACACGATGTCGGATTGTGTAAAGGCGCAACAAGTACGTGGTGTTTCAGTCCCAGGAACGGTGTTATGGCACAGATCCGGAGTTGAAAACGGTTGTCTTCCAACGAGGCACTTCCTTCAGTGACGATGAATCCTGGTAGGGGCATGTGCAGAAGAAGCCCGGAGGGAGGGTTCATTGAAATATCGTTGATCGGTCTTCGGTATACACTGGTCCTCCCCATCCTCCACCTCATCCTCATCACCCTCCTCCCCCTCCTCCTCCTCCTCATCATCCTCCTCACCAGCATCCTACATATCTTCGTAATCGGCAGCAGCAGGTTCGTCCCCGTCTTCCTCCTCTGCCCTCCCCCATTTTATCATAACTATGATGATCAGAATCGTGACCACCATCGACATCACAATCACCACCACAGTCACCATCATAATGACCATCACCCACCATCACCATCCATCATCATCATAATCATCATCATCATCATCATCATCATCATCATCATCATCATCATCATCATCATCATCATCACCACCATCATCATCATCATCATCAGCAGCAGCATCATCATCAGCAGTATCAGCATCAGCATCATCATTATCATCATCATCAGCATCATCATTATCATTATCATCATCAACCGCATCAGCATCACCAGCATCAGCATCATCATCAGCATCAGCAATCAGCATCGTCATCGTAAGCATCATCCTCAAACTCATCATCATCATCAGCAGCATGATCAGCATCCTCCTCCTCATCATCATCTTCATCATCAGCAGCATGTTCATCATCACCATTGCCGTCATCATCACCACCTGCATGATCAGTAGCAGCATCATTACCATCATCATATCATCATTATCATAGTCATAATCGTCATCGTCGTCGACAGCATCGTCATCATCATCAACATCATCATCAGCAGCATCAGGATCATCATCATCATCATCATCCGCAACATCATCATCACCATCCTCATCACCATCATTATCGTCATAATCAGCACCATCATCCACAACATCATCATCATGACCACAACCCAGACAATCAGCATTGTCATCATCAACAGCATCATCGGCACAAACAACATTATCATAAGAATCAGCATCAGCATCATCAGCATAATCGTCGTAAGTATCATCAGCATCGCCATCATCAACATTATCATCACCATCGTCAGCAGCAGGAGCATCAGCATCATCAACAGCATCGTTATCGTTATCGTCACCGTCATCGTCGTCATCATCAGCATCATCCGCATCATCATGGTCATCCTCCACATCATATTCCTCCTCATCATCATCGTCATCCTCATCACCGTCACCATCATCACCATCATCATCCGCACCATCATCATCGTCGTCTCCATCACCATCATTATCGTCATCAGCAGTACCATCATTAACCACATCATCATCATTATGGCTACGACCCATCCAATGCTCATCATTCCCCTCATCATTTTCCTTTCCCGATCGTCCTCAGGTGCGTCATGAGCAGGAAAAAAATCAACCGGGCCCCCCTTCCATCGCCATCCTCATCTTCGCCCATAAGTGTTATTCGTCTAGCCATGCTCCTCCACGACTGGAGGAACGACGACACCAGCCGAATAAGGGCACGACAATTCCCGCGCACGGCCTGTTCCTCCACACAATTGTTTCACCTACACACGAGGAGGACGGGACTCGCATGAAGCGGAACTCACAAGGACGGAGCTCGCACGGGGCGTAACTCGCACGGCACGGAACTCGCACGGCACCGAACTCGCGCGGACGGAACTCGCACGGACGGAACTCGCATGTACGGGGCCCCAACGAAGAGGAACCCACACAGACGGAATTCGCACGAACAAAACTCTCACGAAACAAAACCGCATGGGCGACCACGGTGAACGAATCCACGCGCGGCCGAACTCGCACGCGGGCGAGATCCGTTTGTGCAAATTCCGCGTGCTAGCTCCACGCGCGCGAGCTTCGCTTCGTGCAACTTCCGTCAGTGCGAATTCTACTCCGTCTGTGCGAGTTCCGTCCGTACGAACTTCGCCGTGCGAGTTCCGCTTCGTGCGAATTCCGCGCGCGCGAGTTCCGCCCGCGCGGGTTCCGCCCGGGCAGCGGAATTCGCACGAAAATGGCCCAGGCAGCGGAACTCGCACGGCCACCCTGGCGCGCAATTAACCTCTGTACAGCCAGTAATTGCGCGGCACCCCCCACGGAGCCGCGTTCCTTTTCAAGCCTAGAGGGCTGCGGTCACGCGCCCTCGCAACATCCCAAAACTATCCCCATAGCTCTGGCACGCCTCCCCGCCGCGTCTTTGCGGAGCGAAGCGCGGCGCCCCCCGCGGAGCCTCCCGCTGGAAGCGGGCTCTCAGGGGCTGGCGTGCACCTTCAGGTGCTGGCGCTCGCAGCCGATGTCGTTGCCGCCGACTCGACCAGCTCGTCGATAGTCGGCCCCGGGCCTCTTTGCGCCCTGGATGGCCGCGCCGCCACCCTCGCCAGCCCGTTGGCCAGGTTCGCCTTCAGGCCCGTCGCGCTGAAGCCACGCGCCCGCAGCGCTACCCTCAGCTCGCCCACCTTGCAGCGCATCGGCTCGTCTCAGACGGCTATCTGCTCGCCACTGAGTGGATCGCAATGGAGCTCCTCATACTGACACTCCACGATCCTCGGCGCGACCCGTCGTCGCTGCCGAGGTCCTTCCTTGGTCGGCGCGGTGCCTCCCGCTGCCGATCCCTTGTCCGCGCTAGCCAAGGCTGGAGGCGCTGCTTCCCGCTCTCGTCCGCCCTGAGCGTCCGCGCTCGCTCTGGCTGGAGGCGGCGCTTCCCGCTCTCGTCCGCCCTGAGCGTCGTCGCCCAGCCCGTCGCCAGCGCCCTCCGTCACCTCGCCGCCCGCAGTGTCGGGCCGACGCTCCCTCGAGCGCCTCTTGGCAAGGCAGCACACCGCTACCGCGGCTGCAATCATGTACACCAGCATGAACAGGAACAGCGGCATGACGATGCACGATGCCGATGGTGCTGCCGTCGCACTGGTCGCCCCCCGTGGCCGCGGTAGCCCCCGCTGCGCCACGCACATACACTGTCGCCAAGACTACCTTCAGCATTGCCGCCGCGGGGCCGCTCGCATGGCCAGCCGCGCGCCCTCTTGTCGCTAGCCCCATGAGGTTCAGCAAGACTTCAATTCTCGAGCCGCCCAGGTACTTCGCCCCGATGCCAGCTCGATTCACCGCCGTGTCTAACTAAATCACCTTCAGATCCTTCGTCCGCACTCGCGCCTGACCCTGCACGGAGGGCCATTCCCTCCGCCGCCGAGCTGTCCGCACCAGCAACTCCCCACGCGTGGGCCCCGCACAGTGCGAGGATTTGCTGCAACAGGATAACGGAGGCACCCGCTCAGTTGAGCGCAAGGAGCTCTGCCTCCCCGCTTGACGTCGCTACGTAGCCCAGTGTCGACGCAGTCACATCCAGGCAGTGATCGCCGAACACCATCACCGTGCACTGCGTGGACATCGCGTCGGCCGCTCCAGCCCAATCGCTGTCGCCCTCGGCGTCCGCGGTGACAGGGGGGCCCTGCAACGGGCAGTGCCACTCCGTCACTTGGCACCCCACCAGGCACCGTGCAGCACGCTTGAGCCTGACCTCAGCTAGTGGCGCAGGCTTCGACGCCTCCACCATGACCATCTTCGCTGCGCACTGCACCTGCGACACGTCCTGGGAAAGGTAGGTCAGCACTCCGCCCGCCTCGGGCACCAACCTCTTCAGCCGCTCGTCCACGACCGCCTCCTTGGGCGCGGAGCCTCCCATTCCCTTCAAGCCGGGGCTCGTCTGAGGCTTCGTCGCGTCGGCTGGCAGGTCCAGGAGCTCGAGTAGGTCGTCCACGCGCGAGTCATCTGCTCTCCACACGAAGCGAGGAGACGGAGCACCCCGCCACTCGACGCGTCGCTTGAGCAGCCTGCCGCGGCCACCGCTGGTGGCACCCGGCCCCACTCGACCCAGCTCCTTGATCTCGATGTGCTCATCCAGCAACGCGTCGAGCACGTCGAGCTTCGCCGAGATCCCCTCGGCCACGACGTCGCCACCGTGCACGCCCAGCGCGATGTCCAACGTCTCGTTGCAGAAGGCACCAGGGCAAGGCGTGATCCGAGCCCATGGTGGCTGACTCATCTCGAAGACGTCACCGACGCATGCCTGCCACAGCCCCGACGCAGGTCTCGCACCGTAGAGCGCCTCGCGAAGCTGCCAGACCCGCCCGCGTCGACGCAGCCCAGGCGGCGGCATCACATACAACCACTCGTCCATCTCCGCGTGGAAGAA